TGGCGGTTTTCATCTCAAATCTCTTTTTTAAAACTTGACAACGGAATTTTTTTTTTTTTCAGCATTGTTTTTGATGTTCGCATTCGCAAAGGCTATGCGCAAACTACCGCCCGTCATAAAGGGTACAGCCAATATCCATCCATCCAAAGGCACATCGCATGTTGCCTCGACCGGAAACAGACAAAATCGTGCGGGGCCAAGCAAACGCATTTCACGCAGAACGGGGCAACCATAATCGCGCGAGAAGCAGTCGAACGATTTATCCGAATGAGCCTCACAAAGACCTTTGCCCCATCCCTAACACCATTCTACGGGCATCTACGCCAGTGTGTCGTCCAGCAAACACGACGGTTATGGACACACGCACATAGCCTCCGAAACGCGGCTCAGGATACGGACACTGGTTTCTTGCGCCCACGAGCTTGACAAAGCTAACTCCCTCACAGAGCGTAGGTGATTTGAGACAAGACTGAACAGAGGGCCGGCCGGCCGACATTATTTTCGACCCAAAGTTTCTCCAACGCGCTCTCGGAAAAGCCATCGTATTATGTCATCGAAGTTGACAAAAGCAGTGGTACGCGTAAATGCCGAGGTCGAGCACTTTCCAGCGTCCATTGCTTTTCCACTCCGGCATTTAATTTTCTATGGAGAAGTAATATCTTTATGCTTGGGAGAAGAGCGTGTTGGTTTAAGTCATAGATGAAGAAAGAATAAAACGAGTAAAACGGGGACAACACAACCACACAAAAGATGTGGTTGTGTTGTCCCCGTTTTAACTGTTTTATTCTTTCTTCATCCATGATAATATCTTTACATGTATACAAAATATTGACTAAGATTAAAAATTCCAATCGACCAATGCCTGCATGATCTCATCCCAAATCACACTTCTGAAAATTGTTAAACTAGACACTGTTTCACGACAACTTGGCGAACTGGGGAGGCTGCGACCCCCGCGATCCAATAAGGGCGCCGAAGCAAGGCACGTGGTAACACTTTATGGTCGAAGCCGCCGGGGCCTCGTTACCGCCGCAGCAACAGAGCCCTCCGCGACAAAAAGTAGTTCTAGGCTTCTTTTTCTTTTGACGGCAATTGAACTCGCGCGATTCCATATCTAACGACAAGATAAGAATAAAGAATCACAAATTTATGAGTTTCAATTATATTAAAAAAAAAAAAAAAAGCGACGCCACCCATTCGTATCCTCTCGATTTTTTCGCCTTGTAGCGCCGTGGCCGTTGGCGATCGCAGCGTGCAATCGGCCGTTTCCGCTCAAAACATCGCACTGTGCCCAGGCATTAGCACCCGTCAGATTCGCGGATCAAACGAGCTTACGGTTGTCTCATGAACTGTTCCCGAAGTGCCTAGCGGACGAATATGTCGCTGCGGTGGACGTTCATCCGAAGTTGGTTGGTTTCGGAGCAGACGACTCTTGGCTAGCAGACGACAGCCGGTTGCTCCGGGCCTCGCGCCCGGCATTTGGCGTGGTGACACAAATGCTCCCGTGCCGCCTTATTGAGTCGCGGGGCCCTAGCCTCCAGTTTGCCAAGTTATCGTGAAACGGAGTGTAGTGTTGTAGTTTGATGTTGCGGCTAACGTGAACCATTTCTCTACTAGTAATCTCACGGGCACAAAAATTAAAAAAAAAATGCATTAATTTGATCGAACAGAAAGCCGTAATCGCTGGCAGAAATAACAGAAAAGACAGAGGCTAGTGACCAACTTTCCCCGGTCTCGGGTTCCCGGAATGTCGCAATCGCACTGATGTGATTGGTCCGAGCCATTTTGGAGAATTTGTTTGAGCAGCTAAAAGTCTATTTTGGAGCAGCCACAGGAATTTCTGGATCTTAAGCACACACTCCATATTCATTCCTACCGCTGCAAATATTATATGTAGGGTTTCGTGTTTTCGAATAAATCCGAAAAGCTCCGAAAAACACCCGCGAGTAAAATTTGGGTCAATTGGGTTTTGTCCGATAAACTTCTTGAGTAGTACCGGAACCTCCGTCAGGTCAGCCGGACAAAGTTTATGCAGTTTCTTTCACGCGTGGAATCAAGAATCGCTCGACAAAATGTACCAGCGAACGCGCAAAACAACGGTGCGCCATTTTTGTGTTAATCATCAACAAAAAAAAGACATTGCACTGTTGCCAGATTAAACGCTTTTCAAGTCAATCTTCAGCCGAAGAGGCGCTCGACTTTATCAGTCCGCGCGTCCGCGGACGAGGCGCGGATCGAAGAAGTCGGTGAGGTGCCGGTCCCATGGTACACGGTCCGCGGACGAAAATCGCGATTCGGTCCGTCGTGCGATTAGAGGAAGGAGAGGTTATGTTTTTGTCACAGTGAAAGCTATGAACCATAGATAGTGCATAAAATCGGGAAGAGGGGCAGTTGAAACTTCCTTGTTACATCCTTAATGGGGTAGGTTGATGGAATAAGATGGGATGAATACGAGCTTGCCAGCTCTAGTAGGTTTATTGGTTTTAAGGTATGGACGTTTATCGAAGCAACCCTTGTGTGTAACTTTAGTCCTGGGACAAATTAGTACCGCCAATGGCAATGGCACCGATGCCAAATCCAGCTGAAGAAATATTAACCAATACAAGCGCGTTTTTTTTTTTTTTTTTTTTTTTTTGTCTAGCATACATTTGCATCCAAATATTTATTTATTTTTCATAGGAAACTGCTAAATTAAACTCTAAATTTCGAAGAACTGGGAATCAAACAAAAATAAAGTCCAATAAGATTTAGAATTTTCGGCAAAAATAAACCTCCAAAAACACCCTCCGAATTTGACGAAAAATAACTCCGAAAACACAGTAATAATATGTTAAAAAAGTCACGTGTTGAAGACATTGAATACTTTGCCTCCTCATTTCTGCCCAACCTTTTGTTAGCATAACTGCATGGCAGGTTTGATACCCTCAAACCCAAAGCTAGCTGTTTAGTTGCGTGTAGAAGCACCAGGCACGACAACTAGATGCGAAGTGATGAAGGACCGTATGAACTGCTCTGAATGGTTGTCTTAGGAATGGAGGCAAAGGTAAATCAAATTCTATTCTACGAAAATGATACAGCAGGGCACCCAAATTCAGGTTTCATTGAAGTCCAAAAGATTGCAATAAAACTGCAATAAAAGCAAAACTTGATTGGATTCATTCGATTCCTTCCTTTGATTACTAACTTGAATGAAAAATTATATGCAGGACTAAATAACAAAAATCGGCCTTTTGAACGAAAAAAATCTTTCGTTCAAAAGGCCGGAAAAAAATAACGAGCAAACCAGTCTAGTCACCTTTTGTTCGGTTCAACCTCTTTTTCATATAGGTCGGTTTCAATTTACTTAAGGACACTGCAATTTCGGATTAATTCGCCTCGGGAGTGGAAAAATACACCGCATGCCAGAAAAGATAAATGCATAGGGTGCAGTTCCACCCCATGATGGAGCATAGCCCAAGCTAAAGAAGTTCAACCACCAAGTCAGGACATTGCTCTGACGTGCACACCAGGGCCCTGCACTGCTACACAGACTGGAGCGGTAGAGTACCACATGGTCACAAAATGCAATTCAAAACTGCCAGTTTGTAGCTTTGGCTCCAATTCGTCGTAGGGCAAGACAAAGAGAGCCTATCTCAATTCCACTTGTGCTCGTCTTCAGAAACCTTGCGTCATAAAATTCTGAGTGCGTAAGAACACACCTTGGTGGTACTTCGCTCCGTAATTTCATCCGACAAAAAAGACAAGGGTGGAAGCGGCACCATTTTATTTAGTACTGCAAAAACTGGGTGTGACTCCCACACAAGCCATCCAACTATATGTTTCCAAAAATGTTTAGAATATGCTCAACGAGTTTGTGCGCTCCTCAATGGCGTGTCTCCACTTTTGAGCCAGCGTCACACGTGCTCTGTTCTTCCCCTGGTCGCAGTTTATGAGTGCCACATTCTTTTTTTTTTTTTTTCCCCACGACAAACACCTTTAGTTTACTACCCCATCATTCCAAACAGGTGGCCTTCAAACAAACATTCTGAAAGGCAGCCACCTAGAAAAGTGTGGCGGCACACAAACTTTTATGTTTCAAGGAAGTCCCAAAACCTGGAGGATCAACCATGCTTTAGTGAAAGCAGGGCAAAACATAACTCGTTTTGCCCTGCAGGTGTCAAAAAATGGGTGCCTGAATCGAGAGCCTCTCAATAAAAGAAGACCTTATTTACAATCACGGGTATTGACAACGTCCAGACTCGAACCAAAGGAGTCATTCCGGATTGCAGCAAACAAACATTGACAAATTCAACAACAACCTCTTCGCAGCTGCACTTGGCAACTGCATTGCGAAGCGCAACCCTACAGCCCGAGGGAAAGCAGAGTCAGGTGTCCACTTAAAAAAAAAACTGATTCCACCACCGAATTCCATGAATTTTTATCAACAATTAAAGGGCCACTGATAACCCCAATATCAATTTTTCTTTTACTGTTGTAAACAACTGGACAGAGAGAAAAAAAAATGCCACAGTCAGATTTAAAATTCTTGCTAAGTCAATGACCATATACGGCAAAATGATTCAATCCTTGCGTTTCTGAACGAGTTCAAAGGTGACAGAAGTGTCGGTCAACTTTCCTCCAGCTAGCGCCAGGACGAGTGAAAAACTGCTATTCCCAAGCGATTGTACCACATACCCAACTAATCAGGAAGACAAGTGCGGCTGTGCGTCCGGACAGTCAGTTGCCCACGCACCCTGTTTCCGCCGTGCCTTACCTAGCGCCATCATGCGAGCAAAGGTGGCCCGTCGGTCATCAAACAACCTAAGCAGTGCCTCACCGGCAGATCACAGTTGCCACTACACTAAGAAGTAGCCCGACGGCAAATTGGCAACCAAACGAGCCAAGTGCCCCACACTTGACGACAACTTGGCGGCCGGCGGAAGGCCATCGAATACAGCCGTCCATCGGCACCCTGCTCGCCCCAAAGAGTGTGAAGCAGTCGGACGCCTGCACGGACTCACCGGTGGAAGACAATGTCGCTGCAGGCGTAGCGCTCCAGCTTGGCCACAGGGCCCAGGTCCTCCGCCAGGTCCTGCCGCCGCCCGTCCTCGTCGCAGTCCTCCACTCCTCCGGCTCCAGATGGGCCCTCATCCTCCTTGGCATACATCGCAAAGGCCAAGTGGCCCGCGCCCGACGCCCAGCGAGAGGAGTCCACTGGAGCACAACACAAATGCACCGACCAATCAGAGAGAGGCGAGCAAAACCCCATGCACGCCAAAAAAGCCACACAGAACTATTGGGCACAAGAAACCCGTGAAAGTGTGGCGTGCCCAAAGAGAACCGGATCGAGTGGCTCCGAAAAGTGGGAGCAGGAAAGCCAATATGGGATGCAGTTGGGAAGTCTCAGCGATGGCCACACTCGCAACCAGGCCAACGTCTCCTCAATGGCTGCACTTGGAGCAAATTCCCTCCTACTCAAACTACTCTTCTGAGAAGTTCAGTAACGGTCAGCAACCTTTTCGTTTTGGTCCAGCAAAGCTTATGTTTTACACTGTATACATTTTCAAAAATCCAAGTGTAGTTGCCAAGATCATGCTGGGCAGCGTAAAGACCCCAGTAGACACTTCCAGCATAAGCTCCTTGCCTTCCTGTGTTTCAAGCGGACAATCGACTGTCACCGACTAGAGTTGGCAAGCTGTGGGTCAAGCCCAACTGTCACAAGAAGCTTTGTGACTGGGCAATGAGTAAAGCAGCCCCTGGTTTTCAATGGAAAAAATCTTATACAAGCATATTTGCTTTCCTGGGCCAGCTCGTTTCCATATGCATTCTCATGTTAAATAAAATGATTATTATTAGTAATGAAATGAAGCTCCCTTGACAGAGTGTACACTGCCTTTCTTCAAACCTGAGCGTGGAAAATCTTAAGCACAACTGAATATTGAATGGAAGAGTGTGAGGATACATGAAAGAAATGTTGGCACAAGGCACCAGCTCTGAGCGAGTCACAGTATCGGTTGGCCAGCAATGTGATGCCCCATACACACAAACTATCCAAGAGGAAAAAACCCTTTTCAGCCAAAATTTGCTTCTGCAGCCTAGAAAATATAATGGCAATGTACTTGAAATGCTTTTTCTAAACAAATGCCGTTCAACTTCAAAATACAGCGCACGCCAAACTTGTTCGGAACATGCCAACGGTTTCTTATTTCATGGAATCGTTATCTTGGCGGCGGCGGAACAACTGTTCCACGGCGTAGAGCTCAAACAAGAGCCGGAACAAAAGAGGCCGCTCGCTAGACTGTGGACACCACCACAATTTTTGCCGGCCAGCTAATATATATTTATCGCCATGTTCGTCGTCAATTTCAATCAAGTTCGGAAAGTTCGGCAGCGAAACAACTCAACAGAAAGGATTCCCATTGTCTAAGGCCGTACTCGCTGACCCTAGTTTTCATAAGAAAAAAATTAATGGTGGGACAATAGTAAGAAAGCAGGTCAACAACTTGACTGACCGTGGTCGATCGCAAAGAACACACAAAGTTGCAAGTTCACTGCTCACCGTTCGAATTTCGTGGACGCCAACTTTTTGTGAATTTCAAACTATCCATGTTTCGTATAATAACTCTGACAACCTAAAAAGAAGTGATATTGTCTCGGGATGCTTTCCTTAAAGAAATTAAGTACCCGAGGAATATTTCAATAGTCCATTCGGGTCGGGTGAAATATTTCTTTAACCGTCGCCCCTGTCAAATGTACTCTCCGAAGCATTTCACCCCCCCCCCAATGTTGGCGTTCAAAAATAAACTATTGGTTTTGTGGAAATTTGCACACAAAGTACTCAGGAGACGACATAACTGACAGGCCTGTCAAGGGAAGTCCTACATTTGTTTCGCGTAAAATGTGCCATAATTATTTAAATAGCGCCAGGGAAGTGGAAATCCTGCAAGTTTGACAGAAGTCGAATGCTAGGCATCACTTCGTGAACCTCTGTAGAGAGATCATTATTGACACGGATGTGCTTTGCACATTTCGGAGTCATCACCAACTTATCGCTCTCTGGCATCACCAACGCTGCCCTCGGGCGATTTCCATGCAAACAACTTTTTGTCATTTTATTTGACACTCTCAAGCTGCCTGTGACAGATTTTTCACCGAGGTAGTCACGACCTCCATTTTAAAATAATTAAAATTAATTAATTGAATTGCATGTTTTAAGAAATTTGTTAAAACACTTGAATGACTGCAGACCAGGGATCGAGCATGGTGCAGTTTCTCTAAATCCATAAATGAACAGATGAAGCAAATGTTTATAAAACAAAAACAATTATTGTCTAAAATATTTTGCTGTAATGTCATGGACAAACAAATTGCCTGATGTAGACGATGCCATCAATTCGAGGATCAGACCAAATGCAAAGGTTTGTTACTTATCTCCACGAGTTCTCCCTTATAATCACAAGCAAATGCTTTCGATTACTTATGGAGGAGACTCATCATTACGCCGTAAGCACAATGTTTTCAGGAAACTACATTGTGCTACTTCTTTCTAATGTCACTATTATTGAGCAAGCTTGAGTTGTAATTGGGCTCAATGTGCGCTAGAACTAGTGCCGATTCCTGTGCTTTACCTACCTCACGTGTATCCGATATGCCGACATTGAAACTAATCAAAATGTGTCAACAAAATTAACTGCGGAAGTTGTGCACATAATGATGGCATGCAATTAGCAAGAAAATATAAGCATTGGATGACACTTTATACAGTAAGGTGAAAACTCGGTGAAACGCAACAAAAAACACGATGCCTTCGCCAAAGCACCGAGGGGAGAGCGGAGCCATGAGTTGAAAGCACCTTGGGGCGGCTGCATCACGAGATTCCAAGATGGCAGCGCCCGTGCGACAGAGGCTGGAAAGCTCTATTATGTCTAGTAGATGATCTGCATTGGAAGTTGTGCTTCCGTTTCTGTGTTGCCTCTCGACTTATGCAGACCCAAACAGCCTTTTCTTCCCCACACCCCACAGAGCTTGTCCTCATGCAACTTGTTTGCGAGATGAGGTCTTCTTACATAATTCAGCTTCACGTTATAGGGGCAGTTTCGAAATTAGCCGTCTTGCATAATCTCAAGGGGACCACAATGGCTCGAATTATCGGAAGCTATTCTTAGAAACAAGTCAACCTGGCAGAACAACGATGGTATTTGCTGCCCCTTTCGTTCTCGGCTCGCTGTCAAATCAATAAAAAGAAATGTCCTCCTTATTCTCACCATACCTCGACACACCTCACTCATGAGGGCCCTCACTCACCCTCATCCTCACAAGTGAGGTAAGGTGAGGGAGATGAGTTTCTGATCCAGGAAAATTCATGAGTGTGAGGGTAAGTGAGGACCGTGAGTGCTGTAAGGACCGTGAGCCTGTGAGGGCCATGAGTGCGTTAGGGGCGTGAGGGCCACAAGTGCGTGAGGGGTATGAGGGCCGTGAGGGCAATGAGTGTGTGAGGGGTGTGAGGGCCATGAGTGCGTGAGTGGCATGAGGGTGGTGAGTGCGTGAGGGGTGTGAGGGCCACTAGTGTGGTGAGGGGCATGAGGGAGGTGAGTACATGAGGCGCCCTTCAGACGAAGCAACTTTCTTAGCAATTTTGGTGTTGCAGGCGTGTTGTTCCCTAGCTTTCCCTAGACCGACACAAACTGTTGAGATTGAATCCGGCTCGAAACAAACCAGCAACTCAGAGCAATTAGAAGACGTTTGAAGGGGCTGCATCGAATCAGGGACGCTATATTTTCACGTGACACCTTGTGCCGGTGATAATGACAACAAAAGACTTGGTTCTGGTTTGAAATTGATCGTTTTTGGAAATAAACTGTTTTAGAAAGATGCATTAGTATTCTCAATGAGATTTAAATGCATAAAAACATGTTTATCGCACGTAATTGTGTGCCTAAATAGAGCAAGAAAACTACAATTTTATGACGATGATGGCAAATTGCAGCAATTGGTTGCCGCGTGTGAACGCGGGCGGCCCGTGTTGCTGGTGTTGCGACATCAAGTTTCTGGGCGCAATTGCCCCATCTGAAGCGGGCCTGAGTGGCGTGAGGGCCATAAGTGTGTGAGAAGCGTGAGGGGTATGAGTGCATGAGAAGCGTGAGGGCGGTGAGTGCATGAGGGCTACGACTGCGTGAGGGCCGTGAGGGTGGTGAGTGCGTGAGGGGCATGAGAGCCATGAGTGAGTGAGGGGCGCGAGGGCGGCTAGTGGCGCAAGGGCCACGAGTGCGTGAGGACCGTGAGTGCGTGAGAAGCGTGAGGGGTATGAGTGCATGAGAAGCGTGAGGGCGGTGAGTGCGTGAGGGCTACGACTGCGTGAGGGCCGTGAGGGTGGTGAGTGCGTGAGGGGCATGAGAGCCATGAGTGAGTGAGGGGCGTGAGGGCGGCTAGTGGCGCGAGAGCCACGAGTGCGTGAGGACCGTGAGGGCGGTGAGGTTCAGTGAGTGTGAGTGAAGGGCTGAAGGTGAGTGTGACTGAGGATGAGGCTGAGTGAGGGGCTGAAGGTGAGTGTAGCTGTGAAGGTGAGGGTGAGTGAGGGGCTTAGGTGAGTGTGGCTGTGAGGGTCAGGGTGAGCAAAGGTGGCCTAAAATGCCAACCTTTGATTTTGACTAGGAGGGTGATGAAGTGGCTTTTTACTTTGAAATTGGGACATCCAGCTGTCCCATTACACTGTTTCTCGAGAGAGGGGGGGACAAGCGTATAGCCGCGGTTTGCAATCATTGCGGTTAGGTTAGGCAAAAAGAGAAGGCCTAGCAACAAATAACTGAACTTATTGGCCAGCTGGTCAGAGAGACTTCCGTATTGACTGCAATGTTGGTTCCGTATCGAACATATGCACAATGCGTTTGCACGAAGCAAAGCAAAAAGATCCTGTGCACACTTGCCTTACAGGTACACAAATTGTAAGGGTCTTGGGAACTTAGGGAAAGAGGTGCTAAAAAGTGAAACCACACAGATGCTTTGCCATGGGTCCCAATATGCTGCCTCTAGCTTGCCCTCGACAGAATTCAAGCCCTTTTTGCACCTTTGCATTAATTGCATTATAATCATAACCTTAAAGGGTAACTCCGGCCAAAACTCAAAATGCAATAATAAATTACTGGTATCGCTGTAGTGACACAAAATACGACCCCAGCCAAAATATTACGTCCTTGGGACGCCACATTCTCAACTAA